GTATGTGAGGGAAGAACATTTTGAGGTCAGAAAAAAAACAGAAGGGAAGGCCCTGAGCAGGAGGATGCAAGTATATTAAGGGACTAGCAAACAGGCCAGTGTCACTGGATCAAAATATGGGCAGAGAAGGGCAGCAGGAAGTCAGGCTGAAGAGACAGCCAGGGTCCCTGATCACATGGGGCCGTATTCAGAGCCTGAAGGGAACCTGGAAGGAGTGACAAAGTCAGACCTGCTTTTAAAATCATTTACTCTGGCAATGACCTCTAATGAATTATTTGATGCCAAGGTTTCCTATATTTAATCATTCTAATAGTAAGAGAGGAACAGTTAAGCATGGCAGACTGCAGTATTTCTGGCTGCTTAAAAGAAGTTGAGCATGGAGCCCGATCATGAATTGCTACATTCAAAACAGCAAAGCAGTCACTGCAGGGGAGCATTCCATTTGTTTGTTAGATTTCACAAATGAAGGGCTGTGAAGAAATGTTTAAGAACAACTTGACGGTAGTTTTGGAATGTTAAAAAAAAAAAAAAAAAAGAGCAAGGCATTGACTCCAGAAGGGAATGCTGGGGACACCAACAAAATCAGATTCCAGAGAGGAACAGTACAGCAAAAGGAGGCGGCAGGCTGCACAGGTGGCTGTGTCATCACTGTGACTGGCTCCAAGTGAAGATCTGTCTGAATATGACATGGAGATGTCCAAGAAATAACCCAAGGTAAGGAATTACATGAAAAGAAGTTAAAATGTGAACACTCTGTGAACCAGAAGTCAAAAGAGAGATGAGACTGTTTCCACATGGCAATCTATATACATATGAGTCTGAAAAATTTCAGGGAAGAACAGAAAACTGGAGGCACAAAACCAGGCCTTTCAGCTCTGCCCTGTCACTGAGAGGAACGAGGAGTGGCATTCACCTTCCAACATGGAGATGTGCTCTGGAGCAACACAAACCTCCACGGCAGGTGGTCAAACTCTAAGCTTACGTAGTCTCCACTGCAAAACTGAGGAGAAAGATACATGAAAAAATAAAGGGAGGGGGCAAAAAAGGGTGTGTGCTTGGGGTGGGGAAGGGCAAATGGGCAGAAAAAACCGTTTAATGAGTCAAAATTGCTCAGATTTAATCACATTTATGGAATCCCGGGTATCTTCTTTTCAGGAAAGCTAAGTAATTTTTAGAATAGCGATATTTTTTAAGAACCAGTCCTAGTCTTGGCAAGGAAATGGTTATAACTGAAGATATGGAGCAGTGTAGAAGAATTCAGAAAGAAACCGAAGCTCTGGAAAAAGTGAGGCTTTTTTTGGTTCATTGTGAAGGAACAGAAGTTAGTCTCCAACCAACCCACAATCTCCTCCTAACCCCCAACTTCCCAGAGTCCTGCGCAGCCCATAGAAAGTGGAAAGTGTGCCAAAACAAACAGTGTGGGCTGAAGCTCTGTGGATGAAGGGTGGGATGAGCTTTGGGTGGAACTGGCAGGCAACCGAATGGGATCACTTTAAAGCAATGCCACAAAATGGAGACCAAATCATCTCTTAGGACTTTCAAAATTCACAGAAAATGGGATATGCTTAGCAGAACCAGAGAATAGATTCCCTACTCCAACTCACTTCAAAAACAAAAACAAAATCAGGAAGGATAGAAAAAAATGAAACAAAGCAAAACAGACCTGCTCTCTTATCTGTCTTTAATTAAGACATAAAATACCCTTCCCTCTTCTCCCAATCACCCTGGAACAGAAGAGCAAACTGGCAGCAGCTCAGGTGAAAGACTTCAGCCTTCCAGCTACAAAGAGGGGAGACAGCAGACAATGGAACTGGTGATTCATTACAAAAGAATACACTCCAGAGCAGCCCGCTGCCACATGGGCTTACTGCACTATTTAAAGGAACAGCAACCCCCTTTCCAACCTCCCTTATTCTTAACACCTTCCCTCCTCTTGGTCCTGATGGAAAACAGATTTTGAAGAAAATGCCAGCAAAGCACTGAGCTGTCCAAGAAAGGGAGGGCTTTGTGTTCCACAGAAACTGGCAGTCTTACACTATAGTAAGAGTACGAAAATTTTCCTTCACATCCATACTGTAAAATCTTTTCCTCTCTGCCTAGTATACTTTCCCTTTGGACATCAAATAGTATGACTGACTTTGAGTTTGGTAAAACATTGAAAAAATTAATTGGAGTTGGAGTCGTTCACAATTTTGTTTTTCTAATTTTACATATATTATGAGAATGATTTTTCCTCTTTCCCATCCTTTTATTCCACGTTGTTATTTTCATAGATGTGAGAAGATACAATAACTTGATTCACATGTTCAGAAATAAGAGAGTCTCTCAGTGAGCTACTTTTATAACACATACATGAACAAGAGATAAATGTAAAGCTATTAAAAAATAAGATCGCATGAGCGGGTCTATCTACCATATTAGAATTCTGTGATTAAATTACCAGTTGCCCCTTTTTTTTCCTTTCTCTAAAGGCAAAGCACTAATTACTTACTGTAAATCACAGAGCAATTTGCTAATTAAACCCAAAACAGGCCTTATAAAACTAGAGCATATATAATAAAGCACACACACTCGGCAACTAATGATATAGCTCTAATGATGAAAATGTCATCCACTCAAAGCCCTTCACCCTTCTTCCACCAAGTCAGTGATGGAAACTAAAGGATACAGAAATGTTAAGATCCAAGATGCCAAAAGCCTAGGTGACAAATGGTAAAAACTTATCTAAATACCTTCCTTAATATACTAGTCAAGACACTAAATACAATAATAAATCATTTAACTTTGATAACCAAGCCTTAAGCAGTGTAGACATTTTATATTCAGAAAGCTTATGTGACAGATCATTAATGTATATTGGGATTATAGATATCTGGCTCAACAAACAAAAAACAAAGAGCAAAAAAAAATACCCCCCAAAATAAAAAACATAAAGCCACCCCCCAAAAACCTTTACAGGACAAGTAAAGATTTGGCCCATCTGGTTTTACTAGCTATGTATGGTACACATTATCATAGGAAGTGTATATACCAAAACAAATATGCTGGAATACTGAAAATTCACAAATTCAATATTCTATACCTTCTACACGGGCAAAAGCAAGTGACTTGTTTCCTTCAGCATTCAGCACATCCTGAGAAAATCATAATGATTTCAATTTACCTATTAGACTGCCTCAAGAAATCTCTTCTTCTCATTTCTATTTCTCTTCCGTTTTCATTCCTAAAATTATAGTTTCCTTAAATACCAATTAAGACCACAACATTAAGTGGGCACATATGCATATGAATTCTAACTTGTGCTTACACATGCTTAACCAGCTCCTCTGGAAACTAAGGGGACATGTTCCAAGAGGCCACAAAAACCTGTGATTATAAAAAGTCCTAGTTTAAATAAATCTTTCACTGATTTAAAAATACATATAATGAAAAGTGAAGTAGTTGAAAAGCCTTCAGTAATAGCTGAGAAAGAAGAGAGCTGATACCCTCCAATATAGCCAGTTAATGAAAATTGAATGAGGGCTCCAAGGTTAAGAAGTATCATCTCCAGAGCAACAAAGAGAATACAGAAATAGGTTTCCTCTCTTATGGAAATTTTTAAAAGTAAAGCAATATTTCAAAAGAGTTAATCAGGCTGACAATGAAGGGATAATTAGTGGCAGAAAAAATATTTCAAAGGTTTCTCAGCTTTCCAGAAGAGGGAGGGATTTCTTGATAATGTCCAAACTCAGGTCTGGTGAAGAGTTACTTTGGAAAGACAGATTCTTTGAAAGTTCCCTTTCCTCTAGGTCATGCTGGGAAAATCTCCCTAACACTTTCCCTCCTTCCAAACAGCACTGCGGGGCATTATATAACATTTAACGGAACAGGGTTCCAGCTCCTAAACCAGTGCCTCTGTCCGGATGGCTAGCCGACTCTCTCGCCCTCCGGTGGTGACTTGGAGAGGCAAAGCGAAGAGAGAATACAAAAAACGGGCAACCTCCTTAAAAGGAAAGCAGTCCAGTGAT